GACAGTTATGACAGCGCTGTATGTCTACATTCTGTATGACCTTATTATCCAACTATCAGTTAGTGTACCTGAGAGATTACAGGAGAGGAACAGGCATCATCGCCGCCTCTGGCTTTGTCTTGAACAGAAATAGCCAAGTGGCATCACTGTACTAAATAAAATTACACAGATGTGAATTGTCAGGGAGACTGAGGTGGAAAAGTGACAGCCATGCACATCGAAACTCCTCGGGGCAGAGCAGTTGGCTGCTGTCACAGCAGAGGTTTTTGACACCCTTCTCCGTCGCCTCGTATTATTTTCATGGTTCTGCTTTCAGGTTGACTATGGCCCACTGAAATGGGGGTTTTCATAATGTGATACAGAAAATTGTCCTAAAGTTAAGGTAAAGCGCCATTTTACCTGAATTACAAAAAAAAAAAAAAAAAAAAATGTTCATCTACTCACAGAAGTAGGCTTCTGTATCTCATATCTAGTATCTATTGTTTGGATTTTATTGGTCCAAAGTTTGACATTTCTTACTCTGAAATTTCTGCTGTTTGTGTTTCTCACAGATTTTAACAATTTAAGAGCAAAGTTGTCAAAGTTACTCTGAATCATTCACAGACCTCAGTGTCACTGCTGCGGTCTGTGCTTTGCTTCTAAGGAATAGTCCTTTTAAAAGCTGTTCACAATGAGGTCTGCGAACTATCCAGAGTAACAGGGACATTGTTTATGAAATAATCAATGGCGTGACATTCATTTGGCAGATGCTTTTGTCCATAGCACAACTTAAAAAGTGCATTCAGACCACGTAGGAAAAAGAGCTAGATACTGCATCATTCCTTACTGGCAGATTCTTTCAGACAAATTACTAAAATCATGTTCAGTGCAGTGCCTAAAGATTTTTTCTTATTTAACAAGACATAATTAAGAGCTAGTAAGACAGCAAGACATCCCGAGGCAGAGGAGCACAGTGGTCAGACTGGGGTGCAGGCTTTGGCTCAGGGCTCGGAGGGAGGAAGGATCAGTTCCCTTCACTGCCCTCTTCACCAACATCAGAGGTTTGAACTGAATGTGAGCAGCAACAGGGAGCCAGTGTAGTGAACAGAGAAGAGGAGTGGTTCGGTAAAACTTAGAAATGTTGAATACCAGGCGGGCAGCAGAAAGTCTGGATTATCTGCAGAGGTTTGGAGGCGGACACAGGGGCTTCCACAAGGAGGGAGTGGCAGTAGTCCAGGCAGGAGATCACACCTCCATCGCCAATTAGTTGATCAACAGAAAAATAATTGGCAACAACTTTCGAGTCATTTTTTTAAAATGCCAAAAAAAAGCCAAAGATAAAATCTCTAGCTATACCTTCTGATTTGAGCTTTTCTCTGTTTTATGTAATTGTAAGTTAAATATTTTGGGGGTTTGGACTGTTGGTTGCAAACAACATGACATTTGGAGATGTTAACTTCGATGGACAAAGATGGACATTTTTGTTTTGTATTTGTGTTTTGTTTTCTGACATTTTATAGACTGAACAGCAGATCGATAAATTGAGAATAAAAAAAAAATCATTATGTGCATCCCCAAAACTATTCAGTGCTTTAAGCAGTACAAAGAAAATTTCATTTACCCCCGTTTGATTGGGCTAGTGGAAGAAATCTCAGACACAGACATCTCAAAACTTGGCCAAATATTTACAAAACTATCTGAGACCATGAGAGGAAATTAATCAAATAGGTTTTTTTTTGTAATTTGGATTAATTAACTCCTTCACAGTGTGTGCTGAATAAATTCAAGACTGAAAACTTAAAATAAAAAAATGAAAGTCAAAATGTTTAATTGTGAGGCAGCACACTCTCTGGTTCAGATCAGGCAAACCCTGCTGAGTGAAGCTTTCCAGGAGTTTGTCAGTTCACTTGCTGTGAAACTGCCTGATTAGAAAGTACTTGTTTAATGATGGAGGCCAATCATCACCCAGTCCAATTTGGATGCACTTTGAACAGTTAGTCAGAATTTACTTGTAAAAATAGGATGGAGTAATAGCTTTAAATTTAACCTCTCATCCAAACTCAATATTACAACAAAGCTCACATTAAGCATCTTTGATCATTCAAGTATATAAATAGGGCCATTTTAATCCTGCATACAGTTCAGGGGAGACTAGTTCAGGTCTTTGACCACCAATCCACATATTGGCAGGCCTTACTTCACCTTCCTGGTTCAGAGAACTGAGCCCCTGCTTTCTCTCAGACCTAATCATCAGACAACAGCGACAGTGCTCTCTCTCCTCAATTCTGCTTTTGTGTGTGTGTGTGTGTGTGTGTGTGTGTGTGTGTGTGTGTGTGTGTGTGTGTGTGTGGGAAGGGTTTGGGGGTGATGACCTGTCCCTGAGTGGCTTTGATGGACACTGTAATGGGAGGCTTGGATGAGAAGTTAATTGAATGGGCCACTGCTAAGGAGGAAGAAGAGTGGGGCTTCTCTTCTTCTGTGGGAGGACTCTAATAGCTTGGCCAGGCTGACTGCACAACCACTCAAGGGTCAGAGCTGAGTGAGCCCAGATGATAACAGCATATAGACTGTGTACGGTTGATGTGACTCCTGTCAATTGAAATTGCTTTTTTAAGATCGCATGGAACAGTGTGTGTGGAGGTAAATTATCTATAGGAAGATGGTTTGTGTATGTCAGTTCCCTCGATGCAGCTTTAACTCAGGTCAGCGTGCAATGAAGCAGCTTTTCAATCTGCTTCGTTCACATATTCTTTAGATGAGAAATGGCCACATATTCAGGGGAAGTTTCCTTTGCTGTGATTTCACCCCCAATTTGATGCAGCAAACCTTAAAGAGGAGAGAAGTGTGCGAGTAGATTTATGTGTAATAGCTTCTGTTTGTGTGTGTGTGTGTGTGTGTGTGTGTGTGTGTGTGTGTGTGTGTGTGTGTGGTGTGTGTGTGTGTGTTTTGGGTCTGTGGATATTATTGGGGAAGGAGCTGATTCTGGAAATAAATGCAATATTGGATTTGGGAGAATTATGTTATTGATTTTTCTCTAAGTTACACACAGTTCTCACTAAGTCCACTGTAAATACTCCTGAAGACACAATTCTAACAGTTTTTAATTGATTTGCAGTCGACTAAACATAACACACAAGCCAATGTTGCATGTCTGATGCTACATAGTAGTAAGCTACTAAAATATTCATATATTCCGAGTTTTAAAAAGGGAAAAGGTCAAATTGGCTCATTTGAGAATTACTGAATTACTAAACACAACTGCTGTGTGACAGTAACAACAAGAGTAAGATCAACACCCGCATCACAAGTGCAGCTGATAATTTAAACAGCCTGTTTAGAGTTGAGGATTAAGCCGAGCACAAGAACGCACCTCAAAAAAGCACGTTTTATGTCCAGCGGCATCAAAAAGCAGCAGCTGAACTCGCTGTGACAAATATAGGAGAGCCTATAGGTAAAGAGATGAATAAGCGGATTTAGGCTGCAAGAAGGCCATGAAAGATTGTTCTCTCAGGGAAACAAACTGTTTTTGTCACATGCAGCACAGAGCTGCCCCGTGTGTTTCCATAGTCCTGAGACGACAGAGACCGATGGACTGTCCCTTCCTCTCTTATCGGAGCTGCTGCAGCCCCACAACGTCTGGCTGCAGGCCTGCAGAGACCTTCTCTCTTTCTCTCTCAGAGGCACATATGCATGTACACACACACACACACACACACACACACACACACACAAGCTTCCACATGCGCACTCACACTTGAATTTTACATAGTTTACATGAGTCTTATACGGATCTGCATATAAAATTAAGGGCACACTCAACTTTTTTATTTGTTCTGTCTTTAAGATGCTAGTGTCTGTACTCTAAGGATGGCAATGTTTGAGAGTCGGTCGGTTGGTTCACCTCTTCACTCCAGTATGAAATATCTCAACAATTATTTGATGGATTGGCTTCAAATGCTGGAATATCATGGACCCCAGAGGATGAATCCTACTGAGTATGATCCATGACTTTTCCTCTATAGTGCCAGCATCAGGTCCAGCTCAAATTCCAGTTTGTTTAGTACTTTGGATTATGACCAAATACGGTGATTAATGCTAATTAGCAAATGTTGGCTTGTGAAGACCTCGAGCGGAAATACTTCATTTTAATGATAAATAATCATGAACAATAAAAACTTTTTAATTTCTCATAACTTGAAACATATAAGAATTTACTATTAAAACCAAGGTCCGTACATTCTCTGAACAGTTTCTACATAGTCATTATATTTAATTCGCCATGCCTGATAAATATAACAAATCACATCAGTTTTTATCTACCAAACAGTTTGCTCTCCTTTACAATGAGCTGCTTGTATTTGTCGTTTGCCTTCTACCTTTATGTCTGCAATATAAATCAATATAAATCATTATGACATATTGTTCCTGTGTTGCTTGTATGAATTTCCCTCACTGGACTAAAATCTGAACTCTTTTTCATCTTCTCTGTCCTCTGGCTCAGCAAACGTGTCCACCGGCTCCTTTTATTAGTTCACTCTTCAGTTCACTGTGTCCTCTCCTTAGCTTCCGGCCCCTGTTTGCTTGCTTGTTTTCCCCGAGGGTCGGGAGGTGTTTCACATCGGATGGAAAACACAGCACTGAGGAGCACGGCTCAAGCGTGTGTTGCTGATATTTTATTAAGTCTTATCAGGCTGCTGTCTCTCACTTACCCACCACCCACGCTGGCTCCAGCGCTGTCACTCAGAATTTATCTGAATTTTCTAAAACACCTGCACCCACAGCAGAGGGGGAGCTGTGAGTCTTATGGGGGTTTGATGTGTTTTTTTAGCCTATAGTTTAAAATATGCAGCATAATCACACCCTTCCTCTTTAATTCCAGCTATTTGAAATGATTTCCTTTATTTCCTGCTGCTTGTACACCTCCATTTTCCATACTATCCCTTTTCTCAGATTTTCTCAGATCCCTCATTCCTCTTCTGCATACTCTAAATTCTCAAGCTCTCTCTCTCTTTCTTCCTCAGTGTTGTTGCGTGAGGAGGTGGCCCAGCTTCAAGAGGAGGTCCACCTGCTCAGGCAAATGAAGGACATGTTGAGTAAGGACCTGGAGGACACCCAGGGAGGCTGCTCTGCCAATCTGCTCTCAGCCACCGAGCTCCGTGTGCAGCTGGGTGACAAGGAGCAGGAGCTGGACCGTGCCAAGGAGGCCTTACAAGGTCAGTCTCACCTAATCCACCAGAGTCCCCCTCTCTCCAACAGCTATCGTGAATACACATCAAATAAAGCTGTCCAAGCTTTTAGTTGGAAGTTTTACTCGGTTTGTTTTTTATCACCATGTCATGCCAAGCATTTGGCCCATCTGCTATATATCAAACCTAACAGATACACATACAAGAACAGAACAAAAACATCAGTTACTATATTGTATTATATGCACTTCTAGATACTGTCAAATCACATATGTTTATCTGCAAAACTATATGTTCACATATAGTAGGATTAAGTCTGGCAAAGTGTCTGGCAAATTTCCCACTCACATTTTTAGCAACTTCATTCTTGTGTGTGTGTTTTTTTTTCTGCATCCAGTAATGGTTGTGTATGTGCAAGAGCTGAAAAATCAGAATCAATGTTTTGGAATATCTTGTTCTAATTCAATTAGCATATGTTGATTTAGTTCATCAGAATCTTTTGATGTATTTACAACAAACAAGGATGAGTCATCTAGTGAACATAAGAAAGCATGATCCATGTCTAAAAATATCAATTTCTGTTTTTATCTTAATTTTATCTTTTCAACTTTTCTTTTTAAGATAATTTTCAAATCCATTACAAATCCGCTTTTCTTCATCCACACTGACATAACTTCCAGTTTCAGGTACATAAAGATATTTGCTTCTTAGATAAGTTAAACACAACATAATTCTCTGGAACAAAGTCATATTTTATCATCCTAAATGTACACAGTGTTGGTTTGATCTAAATGTCATTAGCTCTCTGTTCTTTACTGTCAGAAATGCCCTTAAATTCTGTACTGGTTTTCATCTCTGACCAGCGGATATAACTCAGTTTTGTCTTCTATGCACCTAAGGGATGAAACCTGTGCACACACACACGCCAACAGTTTATCATTTCCGGAGAAGTTTAGACGTTCTGCAGTCACAGAAATGGGTGTCGCCCCTGATGAGCAGCCAAGTAGACTCCAGGTTCAGCTCATTGTAATTAACATCCATCAATCATGACTTAGAAGCTTTACTTTGAAATATTAATGTGGTATTGATGTAGACTGGAATGCATTGCTGATCATGTAGTATTGGATTGTTTTAATTTCTTGTCTGAAAACAAGTTCAACTATTATGCAACCAAACAGTTCCCATTCTTGGGAGAGGAGTAAAAAAAAAAAAAGAAAAGAAAAGTCAGTCTCGCATTAATTGTTTGCAACAAAAATTTATTGTCAAAATCAAAAGACAGTCGTGGATTTGCTTGAGTTAACACTGCTGCTTTGTGGTTCTCTCATCTGCTTGTAGAGTTACGGGTGATAAATTGCAAACTTAAAAACCTGTGCTGTGTAACTGCTGCAAAACAGGTTTGAAAGTCGAGTGTAAAATACAAAGACGCTGAACGTTGACAGGAGGAATGCTTCCTGAGTGACATATGTGTGTAGTTATGAAAAGTACATGTTCCAGTCTCGCCTCTTCCCTCTCAACTCAGGCTCTCAGGAGAGCATTGTTGTTATTTTTTTCCCCCTGTAAAGAGCCACACCAGTTGGCATCCTCGCTGTTGAGTTGCCTCTGAAAAACAATGCAGTTCAAAGAAATCAGGTCCAATTGGTTTTCTCCTGAATGAGCCAGCAGAGCCTCCACATGCCAACCGAAACAGTTTCACGTATGAATGAATAAGTGCCACTGTGCCACTTATCTTTTGAGATGATTACATCATTTTCTCTGGGTAGTTTCTGTCTGAAGAAAAAACAAAAAAAACAAACACCAGCTGTGGCTCTTCATTAACAGAAGGCACAGTGTCACCTAGTGGCTCTCTGCTGCAACTGTAAAGCCTTTTCTTCTGACTGACTAGACAGCAAAATCTCACTGACTTGCTGGATTTCTTTTGTTCTGCCTGACAGTTAAATTGGCTGTTAAAGCTGCACATGCAGGTGGTGAAAGTGTTTGTTTGTGTTGCAGCTATGAAAGCTGACCGGAAGCGTCTAAAAGTGGAGAAGGCGGACTTGGCGAGTCAGATGCAGCAGCTGTACACAACACTGGAGAGCAGAGAGGAGCAGCTGCGAGAATTCATACGCAACTATGACCAGCATCGAAAGGTAACACCGGCCCAGCCGATTTATCAATATTCATTATTATTGCAGATATTTCTTTGTTGGGTGATACGTTAGAAGGAATGCCAGGACAGAAATGGCAAAGATATGTTTGAAATGATGAGGGTAAGTTACAATATACTTTGCATTAATAAAAGCTTAAATTTGGGGGGGGGGGTTTCAATGGCTTACCTAGTAGAGCGCGTACCACATAAACTCAGTCCTAACCATAGCGGCAAGGGGTTCGAGTCCGGCCCACAGCCCTTTGCTGTATGCCATCCCCTGTGTTTCTCTCTCTCTCCATGACTTTCCTGTCTGTCTCTCGCTGTCCTGTCAGCAACTTCAATTTGTCATTAGTTTGTTATAAACAATATATATATAATTTAAATATACAATTTATACAATATATAATATATATAAAAACAGTAAATAGGGGGGATTTAATAAAGTGTCATCCACGTGTATACATATGTTAGCCATCAGTAAATTGATTTGTCTCATCGTGTCATCATGTATCCACAAACTAATGCAAGCTCTGGAAGCGACTATGATGCAGAATGTAGCTGTGATGTGCTTCTTGACTCAAAGTTTAAACTCCATTGATAGTTCAAAGTGAGATTGGCAGGGATTAAATATGTTTTTGTGTGTGCGTGTGTGTGTGTGTGTGTGTTCATCAGGAGAGTGAGGATGCAGTAAAGGCCCTGGCGAAGGAGAAGGACATGCTGGAGAGGGAGAAGTGGGACCTGAGGAGGCAGACCAAAGAAGCCACGGAGCAGGCCAATATCCTGCGTTCTCAGATGGATATGAAGGAGAACAGGATCAAAGAACTGGAGGCAGAGCTCACCATGGTGAGTCATCCCGCATATGGACACAGTCACAACTTTGGTGAATTAACTCAAGCACAATAGTGTCACCTTAGCATCATTATCCGGTGTGTGTGGCGTAAGTGCAAACAAGGTGTGGGTTTGCAATCCTGTTTGTGTAAGCATATCGGCTCAAACACATGCAGTAAGCTGCTCTGGTATACAGCATATTCTCATCCCTTCCCTCTCTCAAAGCATTAATTCCTTCTCCAGGCTGAGGAAGAAGAAATTCATTTTGTCTGTGTTGCTGTGTCGGTCCCTCAGAGGTACAGTTGTCAGTCTGTGTGTCATTAATCTCTCTCCTCCCTCGGCAAGTCACAACCACCCACAGATCCTCACATGGAGCTGCATCACAGATCAGATTTGTTGGCACATCAGTGCCAGAGCGGCATCACTGTCAAGACACCCAGCCACAAAATATCCTTCTCTTCTCTTCTCTTCTCTTCTCGATGTACACTATATGACCACTCAGAGGCTTCCAATAATAAAAGATGTGGAAGATGTGGAAAACATGGAATATACTAAAAGACTGTAGTAAAATATTGGCCGTTGGCTGACTTCAAAGTGTAAAGCTGCTATTATTCAATATTTTTCTTCTAAAAAATAAATCCCATGAAAAGATCAAAACCAAGGGTGTGTTACTGATACTGATACTTTCCGACTCCCCGACCCTGTTTGTGGCGCTCAGCCCCAAGCCAATTCATTCCTGCTGAAGGTATAAATCTTTTCGAACAGGTGAAATATATACTTTATTTTTTTATTTATTTTTTTTTTTTTTTAAAAAGTCTTATTTCCTTAATCAGCAGGGCACGGTGCTTTTTAGCAAACATTACTCAACCAGGAATAAATAGTGCATTTGTTAAGGACTTTGGCAGCGTATTAATGCACATTTGGTGCTCAAGTACAGCAGCAGGACGGTTTATGTGGGATCAATTGAAAGTACAGTACAGTTTCAATGTTTGTCTTAATCACAGTGTCATACAGAGCAATTATCTGTCAGTGGCACAGAGGAAGATTTATCAGGCTTTTTTTATGAACACCTTTAGGTCATGCCAACATACATTCATAAGGTGATCTTTTATTTTCTGGACATGATATGTAATACTAAGCTAAAAATAACATTTTACCATTATTATAATATAAATATTATATTATGTTCAGAGATTCTGAGTAAAAAATGGTAATGGTTCAAATTGGCTCATTTGAGAATTACTGAATTACTAAACACAACTGCTGTGTGACAGTAACAACAAGAGTAAGATCAACACCCGCATCACAAGTGCAGCTGATAATTTAAACAGCCTGTTTAGAGTTGAGGATTAAGCCGAGCACAACGACGCACCTCAAAAATGCACGTTTCTGTCCAGCGGCATCAAAAAGCAGCAGCTGAACTCGCTGTGACAAATATAGGAGAGCCTATAGGTAAAGAGATGAATAAGCGGATTTAGGCTGCAAGAAGGCCATGAAAGATTGTTCTCTCAGGGAAACAAACTGTTTTTGTCACATGCAGCACAGAGCTGCCCCGTGTGTTTCCATAGTCCTGAGACGACAGAGACCGATGGACTGTCCCTTCCTCTCTTATCGGAGCTGCTGCAGCCCCACAACGTCTGGCTGCAGGCCTGCAGAGACCTTCTCTCTTTCTCTCTCAGAGGCACATATGCATGTACACACACACACACACACACACACACACACACATAAAAACTTCCATACATGCACACTGATCCTTGAATTTTACATAGTTTACATGAGTCTTATACGGATCTGCATACAATTAAGGGAACACTCAACTTTCTTACTTGTTTTGTTTTTAAGTCGTGCTAGCACCTGACGGTCGGCCCTACACTTTGGTCCATATTGAAATATCTCACCAATTATTGGATCGATTGGCATGAAATTTTGAAAATCCAAGGGCTGTATTTTGAGGTAAAAAAAAAAGAAAAAAAAAAAGATTGAAGCCATAATTAAAAAACAGAAACACATGTCCCGAACAACTTCAATTTGCAGCAAAGCATTTACTATTATTTACAAATTATTTGTGTGTTGCCTGCTCAATATAACAACTTTTGGACGTCAGTTTTTATCAACCTAACAGTTTGCTCTTCCTTACAATGAGCATTACAGCCTCTTGCTGCTAAACTGGCTGTAGATTCTTAGTCTTGTTGTTGTATAAATCACACACATACGCACAGATGCACAATCACACAGTTTAAGTTTAGGGTGCAACTCTATTTTCATTATTGATTTATCTGTTGATTATCTATTCAGTGAACTGATTAATTAGTTTGTCTATAAAATATCAGAGTGCAGTCAGACAACACTCATCACAAGTTCCCAGATCTCAAGTTGTCATCTCCAAATTGTTCATTTTGTCTGAAAAACAATAGAATTCTGCATTTATATGTAGAGCAGCAAGTGCACACGTTTGAACAGTAGATAAATGACTTAAATGATTATTTTTTTAACCAAATAGCTGTCGTACTTCTCCACAAATCCATTCCTTGTTTAATCAAGTAATTATTTCAGAATTATCCCCATCATTTGTTTTTGTTGCTGTGCTCTTCCATCTTGTACGATATTGAGGTATCATGAAGATTTTTTATCTCTTATTTGTGGAGCAGCTTTATTTTTCCAGTGGCGTCAAAAATAATTCTTCCGTAATGAGGCCCACCACTATGAAACACAATTGATCACAAATGATGGTGTTTTACTCTCGGTTCATTTTTATTGTCGTGTCTTGTGTGTTTCCCAGGCAAAGCAGTCTCTGGCCACCCTGACAAAAGACGTACCGAAGCGCCACTCGTTAGCCATGCCGACAGAGCCCGTGGTGAACGGCAGTCAGGAGTGGGTGATGCAGGCCGACCTGCCGCTCACTGCCGCCATCCGTCAGAGCCAACAGACCCTCTACCACGGACACACCACAGACAGACAGGGTAGGCTCTCTTATCTGCTCAGCCTCTCAGTGTCCATGCCGCTTGGTGTTGCTTTTACAGACCCGACATACTAACAGAGGGTTTCTTGGAGGTTTCTCATACTAACTATGGGAATTTTTCAATGTGTGTGTGTGTGTATACATACATGTGTGTGTCCATGTGTGTGTATGTGTGTGTGTGGGCCGCCTCCAGCTGTGGTCAGGATCAGCCCCTGTCACTCTCGCCAGCCCTCTGTCATCTCTGATGCCTCGGCGGCCGACGGGGACCGCTCGTCCACGCCCAGCGACATCAACTCACCTCGTCACCGGACCCACTCCCTCTGCAATGTAAGAGCTGCCTGGCCCCCTCGACCAAGTAATCACACCTCCACACTCTTCTCCTGTTTGTGTCTGTCCCTCTGTCCTGTCGGCCTGCTGGGTGTCAGCCTGCCTGCTTAGTGGTAGTGGTGGTGTTATTTTGCATTTAACACAATTTAAAACAGCAGTTTGACATTGCAATAGTTTGAAATTGCGTAGTTGTAATTGCATTCTTGTCAAGAGTTTGATGAAAAGATTGAATTGTCTCTCATGTCTCTGTATAGTAAACAGAGTGCTGCAGGGATGAGGTATTTTTGTAAGCCAAACAAGAAATTAGCATAAAAAAGCCAGTGGGATTTTAACATTGGCTTTTATCACTTTTTCATCACCAGAAGTTAAAAGATAATGTTAGACTACAAACAAACTACACGGCGGTCAGATGACTTCAACGTCCCCACCACTAAACTTCCAATTTTTAATTTAATTTAGTGCTTACCTCTTCTACAAAAGCCTTCCCTCTTGGAAAGTTAGTAATAGTTTGAGAGAGTGTGAGTATGGTATGAACACAACGAGGCCATAAAGGTGGACGGGTGAGTACATCAGTTTTTGTTTTCAGCGTGATGACGTTTTAAATCCCGATCAACCTCCGTAGTCTCATTTACCCACTTGTTAGTAACTGCCATTTTTAAGACACACAAAATCTTACTAGGGTATTTACAGATGTATTTTGTATCATAGAATTAAACATGAAAATGTCTTGAGTTTGTGTTTACCAGAGACCTTATTTCAGGCTTCCAAAACTTAATGACTTTGGGACGAGGAAACCTGGAGTGCAGAAATGCTAAATTATTTACAGGTTATGGGACTCGTTCCTGCAGCACTCTATATGAAGCTACAGCAAACAGCTGGTTTTAGCTTGGTATAAAGACTGAAAACAGAGGGAGACAGCTAGTCTGGCTCTGTCCACAAGTGACAAAATCCACCTAAAAGCACCTGTAAAGATCACGAATGAACATGTTATCTCTCATTTGTTTAATCTGTAGAAAGACCACAGTGTAAAAAGGACAAAGGTGTTGTCTTTCAATGCATTGAAACACCAAGAAGAAGTCACTGCACATGAGATAGTTCAGCACCATACCCCCCCATAAAGAAATCGCATATTGTTTTTTACACTTCAATTTTTGAATTGATCAAACAAATAAGATATAAAGTGTTGATTAATAAGCTGTTGAGGTGTAAGTTGGCAGACTTTTTCATCTTTTTGACAGAGCTATGAGCTGTGTCCTATGCTAAGCTAATCGGATGCTGGCCGTCTCTTCATATTTACCATACAGACTCATCAATCTTTTCGACAACTCTTGGAAAGGAAGCAAATTCCAAAAATGTCAAACTACTGTTTAGACTTTTTAGATATATGAGAGGACTAACCCAAGTCTCCTGTCTCCTCTGCCTGGTTCAGTCCATGGAGGACCTGGAGGACCAGAAGCGTAAGAAGAAGAAGGAGAAGATGACTCTGGGATCCCTGTCACGGGTGTTCGCTCGGGGCAAGCAGCGCAAGTCACTGGACCCCGGCCTGTTTGATGGTACAGCCACCCCTGATTATTACATAGAGGAGGATGCCGACTGGTGATGCTGAGTGTGTGAGCATGTGTGTGTGTGTGTGTGTGTATGTGTGTGTGTGTGTGTGTGTGTTAATGTTTGAAAATGTGAGGATATCCACCTGGCTTTAACTGTGTGTAAAGAGTGTTTTGTTTGTGGGTTTGTGTGGAGTGGGGAGGGGGGTAAATTTTAAAAGAGAAGCCCTAAAAGAGACTGCTATTCCCATAAATGTACAGTATATTACCCTCAAATTGTATGTTTGTAAATTAGATATATATTTATAGATGTACATGTATGCATATGTATATATGTTTACATGCATATAAATATATATAGTACAGGGGTTATTATTATGTGTAGACATGTTTATGCTGTATTATCTTCCAAATGGCTTAATGTTTTATGTTTTTTTTATAACTGGAGACTTGAAGGACTGCTGTTTATATGTATATAGGAGTTATTGTGAAACTAGTGTTTTTACTGCAAATGTCATTTGGCTTTTGTTACTTTACAGTTGCTTTTATCATGCTTTGCAACACTGATTTCTACGTTTCTCCTTATTCCCAATGTTACTTGGCCCATTTCTTGTTATGAAACAGGAGATATTAGCTGATTGACTTGAAAAAAAAAATCTCTTGGTCTTTAATTGGCCAAATTCAGTTGTTTCAGATTACTTGTTGATATGAAAAACAGTACTTTCAGGTATTGCTGTTACAGGATTGTCATCATGTTCATGGTATAAATTCTGGCTCGCAGTATTTGCTGATGATACATTCACAACATATCACAATGTCATGTTGACCTCCTCATCCATTTATGCAAAAAGTTATATTCTCAGTTACTATAATTAAGGACCGGCTAATAAGGGACTAGAGTCAGATCTCCATAAAGAAAATGTAGGTGCACAGACTTGAATACACAAGCAAAAGAATATCAGAAAATTAACAGTAATGCATATTCAGGCACACATTTCGTCTGCTGTCAAATTCATGTGCAAGTGCCAAAGGTTAAACATTCATCATTGAAAAATATGCGTATCATTCTGTCACTGTCAGCACTAGCCTCGAAACATTGTTTATGTCTGTCTTACTGAGAGCTATCAAATGTGCCAATATCAGACAAAGGAATGTGCATTCAACACCTGCATGATCCCTCTGTGTTGCTTATGATAAGATGTCCATTCATTGCCAATCAGATTAATAATCTCCACACTCCTGTGTTGCTCCTGTGTTGCCTTTTCCCTATACCAAGTTATCTTTCCTTGCATTATGAATGCACGCCCTCCCCCTTTTTTTTCTTTTGCTGTTTTTGTTCTGCTTTGTGTAGAATCCCTCCTCATTTCTTGCAAATGTGGCTCTAATAATTCTCTGTTAAATGCTTTGTAATTTAGGAGATGTTGCATAAAAGATTAAATCTATTGAAGTATTTTATTTAAAAAAAAAAGACACAAACAAGAGGTAACTTCAAATATTTATCTGCTGCAGCTGTTGCAGCCAGATGTTGAGGAGGTTTTAGCATTTTCAAAATGAATTATAATTGAAATGAAATCTTATTTTAAAAATAAAACTAGTAACTGAATACATCCTACGTGACCTTTTTCTGTTCCATGAGTAATCTTGTTCTTGTGTCCCAGTCTAACGTGTCTCTCCCTCTCCTCCTGCCATTTCTAATGGCAATGCTCTCCTGCCAGTGAGTAACTCCTCATCTGTGATTACCAGCTGTCTGTTTCTGCACTCTGGGGATTATTCATATCACTCAAGTCCATTGGAAAAAAATCAAGTTTGTCTCATTTTTTTGTGGGAACTCTCTTGAAAGATGGTGGACTTTGCATGCAGCATTTCTGTCAGCATGTGGGGACGAATCAGGTAAACACACGGACTTCATCCTGGATTTGTCTGTTCAGTATGAATCAGTGTTTTCCTGTTGTTGAGATGGGCAGTTGATGGGCAGGAGCATGACGTTTTATGAATAATCCCTGTGTCTTTAATACATTATCCTAATGCTCTTCAGTCCCCTCATAATCATTAGATAGTTACAAGTTACCTTACAAGTATTGTAACACCTTTACTAAATATCGGTATTGTAGTTTTTAGAACTGACCAAAACTGACTAAGACTTTATGGGTTGTATTGAACTGAAATTCAGCACCATTTCAGATTTAGAAGAAGTCAGTTGTGTAGTTTTGGTTACCTTTTAATATGAACTTTGTTCGTTATTTCCTTACCCAGCACAGTTGATTCTGAGACACAGGAAAGTGTAGTTCCAGTGAATTATTCTGGCTCCATCTAGTGGCCAGAAAGTGCAATTTCAAGACTGTTTATGTCAAATTTGGACAAAGGAAAGGGTTGATGCTATTTTTCATTGAGCCGAGTGATAACTGACTTGATGAATATTGGTAAACTGAAGATAAACAAAGAAAGACACACTTCTGAAAAAAACAAAAAGTAGATATTTTAGTGTAATATCTGAAGCATTGCTGTGTACCCACTGAGGTAGTGTGTTTTCCATGCTAATACCCTGTGATTCTGATGTCAAATTGTCTCCAGATGAGTCATTTTTTTGATTTCCATATTCCTCTGACCCTGAACGCCTCCTGTATGCCACACCATAACTTCTCCTGACCAATCCAGACTCTGACAGCCTCACACAGCAGAGCCTGTCTGACGGAGAGGAGCAGCTGGACCGCCTCCAGCAGGCGGAACTCACACGAAACACATGCATGTCGCTGTGGAGGGCAGGTGCAGTCCAGGCCTGGATGGAGGTTGTTATGGGAATGCCCATGTATATCCGGGCCTGCTCTGAAAACGTCAAAAGTGGCAAGGTACACCTTTGGTACAAGTAGTTCCTTTGCTGTTTGTTTGCCTTGTACTTGAGAGTGGGGTAGTTTTTGAGCAGGCGTGTTTATTCAATTTGGATTTCTGCTCTTTAGGTGCTACTAGGCCTGACAGATGATGATTTAGAGCTGGGTCTGGGTATCAGTAACCCGATTCATCGCAGGAAGCTGAGACTGGCCATTGAGGACTACAGAAGAGCTGAAGGGGATCAAGGGTGAGCAGCAGTAAACAAAACTCTAAAGATACTGTAAGTAAGTTTTCTCAAGTATTGTAATATTAAGTACAAATTTGAGATACTTGAGTATTTTCATTTCATACTACTTTATACTTCTACTCCACTACATCTCTGGCAGCTTTAGTTATAGCTACTTTACAGATTAAGATTAAAAACATGATCGAAAAACCTCTCAGACATGATGTATTATTGTAGATCAAATTACTCAACAATGTATAAAATTGTTCAAATAACACCCACCTCAATGACCTGCAACACTAAAATGCTGCTTAAACATAAAAGCATCAGTAATAATAAACCAATAAAATAATATACAGTAGCTCAACACGCACAGGGGTTATACAGTATTTCTTCATTATGAGTACTTATTATTTTGATACTGGAACTACATTTTCAGTATTATACTCATGTAATTATTTTGGATGCAGTACTTTTAATGGGGTATTTTTACAATGTGGTATTGCTGCTTTTACTTTTAAGTAACCACCACTGCTGATCATTGGTGTCTGATCATTTTCTAGACTATCAAAGGCATCTGAGATGGACCATCACTGGGTTGCAACATCATGGCTTAGTGATGTGGGGCTTCCTCAATACTCCCAAACTTTCCAGAGTCACTTAGTGGACGGACGAGTGCTGAACTCTCTGAGCCGCAGAGACCTGGAGAGATTCCTCAACATCGGCGACCAGTTCCACCAGACTAGTCTACTTCTTGCAATCCAGCTGCTGCAGATGCTCAGCTTTGATAAAGAGGTTAGACTCAAAATTTAGAGATGAAAAAGTATTGATACTGAGTAGTCGTTTTTCAGTAGTCGTTCCTCAATCACAGCATAAACATTAACTCAGTTACACTGACAGGACTGCTTGTGATTTCCACTACTATCCACCATAGCTTGAGGCACACAGAAGCTCTTGTGCTGCGTTATCTCAGTAGGCCATCATCCTTCCCTGACCTCTCTCTCTCTGTGTTTTCCTTGGCAACTGTCACATTAGTGCTTTTGCAGTGCTATCTGTGTGTTATGTCTCCGCAGGCCCTGCAGGCACGACGGGCAAAATGTGAGCACCAAGACCGGGACCCCATTGTTTGGACATGTCACAGAGTAATGAAGTGGATTAGAGACATAGACCTCAAGGTGGGTGGGAGGTCAGTGAAGGTGTTCCCTTTGCCCAGGAGTTTTCCAGGGCAGATAGGAACTAGATACCACACAGTATGAGTTCCTAGGACTCCCTCAAAAATAATGATAGCTTTGTTGCTTTGTTGCCTCAGCGCTATTTCTGCCCCCCAGGGATGAACAGTTATTTGTTTTAATCTTTTTTAAAGGCTCCACCATGACTGTGAATTGTATTTATCTACCAAAGTGACTTGTGGCAGGACTGTAGATTAAGTCTCAAGTAATTTTTCTCAGCTGTACTGCACACACAAGTACATACTGCCTCTGTGTTTTGCACTTCAGGAGTTTGCAGATAATATTCAGGGTAAAGGAATCCATGGAGCTCTGATGGCTCTGGATCCATCCTTTGACACCGATGCCATGGCCAAAGCCCTGGGGATTCCCAGCAACAAACACATGCTGCATCGGCACCTGTATGAAGAGATGAAATCACTTGCTGTCCCTCTCAGGTAAATCAGAAACTCCTCTGTACAAAATACATGCCTACCTATTGCCTACCAATTATGTGATTTTGTTCATATAATTATGACTTTAAAAATGTACCATTAACAGATGAACAGATAAGACAGGACCACAGGGTTGTGAAATGTGAAAAAAGGGTGATTTCTAAGAAATAAAGAAATAAACACATAACACCTAAATAAAACTTTCTTGCAATGCCTTGTGTTTACAGCAATGCAGAGCAAGGCAATGAGGTTTTCACTTCTTCACCTGTGGCTGTAAACCACTTTGCAGAGGAGAGGATGTCTATGAGAAAAATGGGCAAGGTATCATGTCATATCATTTAGACCAGTTTTTACCAACAAAGAGGCCGTCGAGTAAATGAACTATAGCCACAAAAGTCATAAATGTGGTCAGTATACTTGAGTAGTTGGAGACAGTATCATTTTAACAAATGTCAAAACTTTACAGCAGTTTATTTGTAAAACATCATAATTCATATATCTTTTTGCCTCCATGCCAGAGACAGCCGTGGCATGGAAGCAAAATCCAACTACCCAACATGTATACTGTACATATGTCTGTCTATTCCTCCCATTCTCGTCAATGTGATATCTCAGGAACACCACTCTTAAAATTTGGAACAACCGTTCACTTGGACTCAAGGATAAACTAATTTGATTTTAGTGGTCAAAGATCAAAGGTCAAGGCCACTGTGACCTCACAAAACATAACTCTTTTTATTAAATCCCCTCAAAGACTTCACTTCATATAATACATGTGTTTGGACAGACATGGATGTACACTGACTGTAATATAAATAAATGAATGTAACTCAGTTTAATTTAACTGAGTCAATTAAATATATATATATATATATATATATATACTGTATATATCAAGGTTGGACATTTAAACTCACGCAGGCACACAAGCAAACGCCAAAAATCCTGTGTGTTTTTTCCAGTGG